TGTTAAAAAATCCTCTGTTTCTAGTATATGGAAGGTAGTGATAGGTGAAATTTTTGTCCCTTAATTTCCATATTTTGTCCCTTAATTTCCAATTTTGTTGGTCATTTCAATGGGAATTTTGGTTTGGGGACTTTTTTTTTTTTTTTTTTTGAGACAAAGTCTCACTTTGTTGTCTAGGCTAGAGTGAGTGCCGTGGCATCAGCCTAGCTCACAGCAACCTCAAACTCCTGGGCTCAAGCAGTCCTCCTGCCTCAGCCTCCCGAGTAGCTGGGACTACAGGCATGTGCCACCATGCCCGGCTAATTTTTTCTACATGTATATTAGTTGGCCAATTAATTTCTTTCTATTTATAGTAGAGACGGGGTTTCTTGTTCAGGCTGGTTTCAAACTCCTGACCTCGAGCGATCTGCCTGCCTCAGCCTCCCAGAGTGCTAGGATTACAGGTGTGAGCCCTTGGGCCCAGCCTTGGTTTGGGGCCTTTAAGGGTATGAATTTACCTCTGAGTATAACTTTCGCTATAACCTGTACATATTTATGTATGATGCGGTAGTATATTTTTTCACTGTTTCTAAATAGCCAATTCTGTATTCTTAAATTTTTATCTTTGATCTACTATTTATTTAAAATGGTGCTATGTAATTTCTGGCCGAGCATGGTGGTTCACACCCATAATTCCAGCACTTTGGAGCACTTTGGGAAGCTGAGCTGGGAGGATTGCTTGAGGCCAGGGGTTTGGGACCAGCCTGGACAACCCCTGTCTGTACATATAAAAAAAGAAAAAATAATTAAAGGGTACTGTGCAATTTCTAATTACATGGGGGGGGCACCTCTTTAATTTTTAATTTTGGTAGCATATATATAACATAAAATTTGCCATCTTAATAATTTTTAAGAGTACAGTTCAGTAGTGTTAAGTCTGTTCATAGTGCTGGGCAACCAATCTCCAGAACTTTTTCTTCTTGCAAAACTGAAACTCTATACCAGGCATCCTCAAACTATGGCCTGTGGGACACATGCCGCCCACCGAGGACATTTATCCAGCCGCCCCTGCCTGTCCTGCTTAGCAGCCGACTCGTCCTTGGCCCGCAGTTCGCACTCTCCAACAGCCTGAGGGACAGTGAACTGGCCCCCTGTTTAAAACGTTTGAGGACTCCTGCTCTATGCCCATTAAACAACTTCCCATTTCCTCATACTCCAGCTGCTTCTGCTTTTCTCCTTTTCCTTCTATTATTTGACTATATTAGATGCCTTATATAAATGGAATCTCACAGTATCTGTCTTTTTGTGATTGGCTTATTTCACTGAGCTAATGTCCTTAAGATTCAGCCATGCTGTGGCAGGTATGTGTCAGAATTTCCTTCCTTTGTAAGGCTGAATAATATTCCATTGTACATCTATATCACATTTTGTTTATCCATTCGTCCGCTGATGGACACTTGGGCTACTTTCCTTTTCTGGCTGTTGTGAATAATGCTGCTGTGAACATGGTTGTACAAATGTCTCTTTGAGACCCTGATTTCAATTTTTTGGATACATACCCAGAATTTTTGGATTGCTAGACCATCTGGTAATTTTTAATTTTTTGAGGAGCTGCCATACTGATTTCCATGGTAGCTGTACCATATTACATTCCCACCAACAGTGTACAAAGGTTCCAGTTTGTATCCTTGCCAACACTTTTTTTTTTTTAAGAATAGCCATCCTAATGGGTGTAAGGTAGTATTTCATTGTGGCTTTGATTTGCACTTCCCTAATGATTAGCAATGTTGACCATCTTTTCATGTGCTTGTTGGCCATTTGTATATCTTCTTTGGGGAAATGTTTTTTCAACTCCTTTGCCCATTTTTAAATTGGTTTTTTTGTTGTTGTTGAGTTTTAATTCTTTACACATTCTGGATATGAATCTCTTGTCAAATATATGATTTGCAAATCTTTTCTCCCTTTCTGTGCATTGTCTTTTCACTGTATTCTGTTAATTGTGTCCTTTGATGAACATTTTTAGTTTTGATGTAGTCCAGTTTATTTTTACTTTTGTTGCCTGTGCTTTTTATTTTTTTCATTTTCTTAGAGGTGGGGTCTCTCTCTGTCACCCAGGCTGAAGTGCAGTCGTGTCATCATAGCTCACTGCAGCCTTGTAGGGCTCAACTCCTGGACTCTAGTGATCCTCCCACCTCAGCCTCCCAAGAACCTGGGATTATAGGTGCACATCACCACACCTGGGTAAGTGTTACTTGTGCTTTTTGTGTTTATGCAAAATATCATTGCCAAATCCAGTGTCATGAAGATTTTCCCCTATATTTTCTTCTAAGAGTTTTACAGTTTTAGGTGTATGTTTGGGTCTTTGATCTACTTTGAATTAATTTTTGTATATGGTATAAGACAAGAGTCTGATGTCATTCTTTTGCATGCAGATATCCAGTTCCACCATCATTGGTTGAAAAGACTATCCTTTCCCTATTGAATGGTCTTGGTACCATTGTTGGTCATTTGATCATATACATGAGGGTTTATTTCTAGGCTCTGTGTTCTATTCCTCTGGTCTGTGTGACTGTCTTTTTGCTATGACCACACTGTTTTGATTACTGTAGCTTTGTAGTAAGTTTTTTGTTTTTTTTTTGAGACAGAGTCTCATTCTGTTGCCCGGGCTAGAGTGCTGTGGCATCAGCCTAGCTCACAGCAACCTCAAACTCCTGGGCTCAAGCAATCCTTCTGCCTCAGCCTCCCCGAGTAGCTGGGACTGCAGGCATGCGCCACCATGCCCAGCTAGATTTTTCTATACATTTTTAGTTGTCCAGCTAATTTATTTCTATTTTTAGTAGAGATGGGGTCTCACTCTTGTTCAGGCTGGTTTCGAATTCCTGACCTTGAGTGATCCTCCCGCCTCAACCTCGCCAGAGGGCTAGGATTATAGGTGTGAGCCACTGCGCCTGGCCACGTTGATTTATTTTTGCATGTCAAACCATCCTTGTGTTTCAGCAGTAAATCTCTTGGTTGGGGTTTATAATTATTTTTTGTGCTGCTAAATTCATTTTGTGAGTGTTGAGAATTTTTGCTTCATTATTCATAAAGGTTATTGGTGTTTAGTTTTGTTTTCTTGCAGTGCCTTTGTCTTGCTTTGATATCAGGGTAAGTTGCACCTCATACGAAGGGTTGGAAAGGGTTCCCTCTATTTAGTTTTTGGGAAAAGCTTGAAGAAGATTGGTGCTTAATTCTTCTCTGAATGTTTGTTAGAATTCACCAGTGAAACCATCTGGTCCTGGGCTTTTCTTCGCTGTGAGGTTTTTGATTACTGATTCAATCTCCTTACTAGTTGTAAGTCTGTTCAATTTTTTTCTATTTCTTATGATTCAGTCTTGGTAGGTTGTACGTTTCTAGGAACTAACCATTTCATCTAGGTTGTCTAATTTGTTGGTGCATAATTGCTTACAGTATTCTGTTACAATCTTTTTTATATTAAAATATTATACAAGGAAAAGGAATACCAAAACAAAGGGATTTTTGTTTTGTTTTGTTGTGTGGTCATTGTTTGGCTTGGTTGGGCTTTTCTGTGCTGCTTGAATTCACATCTCATCTGTTGGAGTCATCAGTCCGGATTTCCCGAGACAGCAAAGTGCTCCCCACAGGTAGTTGACAGAGGACTGCTACAGACGCCTGGAGCTGTCTTCATGCATTCAGAATCGCAGGCCCTTGCTGGAAAAATCAGTTCCACACATTGCAGCTGCCATTCCTTTGAGGAGCGTTGCCTTCAGGCCTGGTCTGCAGACTTCGCGCAAGCTCGCCGTGGTGGCAGCCCCAGGTTTGAGTCCTCACAGCCCACGCACGGGATCTCTTGGGTGACCCAGGCCTGTCAGACTTGCGAGTTTCTCTCCTCTCTGATTCTTAAAGCAAAACTGCGTCTCTGGGCAGCCCATGGCTCTGGGTGAGATGAGCTCACTGCCTCTGGGGGAAAGCCACTGGCCGCCACCTAAATGGCATGGCTCTGAAAATCAGGAAACTTCACCATGAGGTTTCCTTAAGGAATTTCAGAGTGAGGTTAACTTTTTTAAAGATCTCAAGGAGCCAGAAGAGGCATTTGTTTTTACAGAGCTGTCAGATCTTCCTTATCATAAAGGAGCCTCTGAGCTACAGGAGACAGCGGTCAGGCAGCAGACGGCGGAGTGCTGGAGCTACCGCTTGCAGAAGGACAGTGGCCCTGCAGGGTGTGGCCGCCTGGTGGAGAGAATGACCTGGACTTCAGTGCAGCCAGCAGGTCAGGGCTGGGCAGGCCTCCTCTCTGCACCCTGATGTGGACACGGCGCATTTGGGAGGCCAGAGGAGAGACTGCTCAGTGGGACTAAATTGCAAAGTGCCAGAGATAGACAGGTCCATGGTTTCCTGAGCTGCTTTTTGGGACAGATAGCTCACGCCTAACTCAGATTCCAGCCCTGGCATCAGTAGCCCTGCGGCAGGCTTTCCCATGGAGGGTGGTTTCCAACCATGCCCAGTTTTCTCTGGTTGGAGGAGCTTTGTCTGTCATTCTTCCTCTCCTCTGGGAAGTACCATTATGTGAAGTTCGGCCCCTCAGCGCTCTGTCTGTCAGGGCTTCTGTCTCTAGTCTTTTCTCATCTTCCTCATTTTCTGCTGGGTTTGGAAGGACCATCTTGGATGTGTCTCCTCCCACCTCATACTCTGCGGGGTCTCCGCAGCACCCTGAATTCTGTTCATTGCCTTTATCTGGTTTTTGTTTCAGTCCCCATGAGATCCTTGTTTGTGGCAGCTCCTTTTCATGATGGTCTGTTCCCAGTTCAGCTGAACATCATCTTTGACCTCTGAGGATGCGTATCAGCTATTCCGTAATGTCCGTGCTAATAAATGGACTAGCTGTGACTCGGTGGGAGGCAGCTTCCAGAGTCCTCCTGCAGTGGAAGGGTGCTGGGGTGCTGTGCAGCATGCTCCTTGCCACAGGGGGGTCTGCGTAAGCTTGGGGTCCACGGGCCCAGCCATTCCCACCAGTCTCAGAGGGACCCTGAGTGGGGATCAGAGGCAGAGCTCCCTTGCAAACTGCGGTGTTAGGGACACCCCTGCCCAGTGTTCAGGACAACGACAGGTTGGCCCAGGACCCGTACTTTCCCCGAGACCGTACTGGCTGAGCATGTGAGAGGCGGGACTGCTTGTTTTTGGAAGGGTAATGGTGTCAGGCCTGTGTCGCAGCTGCTCCAGGCTGAGCTGCCTCCCAGGCAGGGCGAGGTGGGGGGCAGCAAGGCCAGGTCCAGCTCCGGTTGTGGGAGGGAAGGGCTGTCCCTAGGGCCCTCAGCCCAGCCAGAGTTGGCCAGAGTCCACACAGGACTCTGGGGCCAGGGCAGACGGGAAGGTGTCTGAAGCCTCCCTGCCCACAACGGCGGTGTGGGGACAGAGTGGGCTCCAGTTCCCGCCTGGCTCCGGGGCGAGTCGCGAAGGCTTCGCCTGTGACTCACTAGGATGGAGGAAAGTCACAGAGAGGCGCACCTTTCCTCTTGGGCCTTGGGACTTCTGGGCGGACAGGCCGTTGTGGTAGGTGGTCGCTCTGCTCTTGCTGGGGCTCACCTCTCGGTGCCGTGTCCTGGCTTCTGTCCCTTCCAATGCATGAGTGATGGCTGGTTCCCTGTCCAGGAGGTTGGAGGCAGCCTCCGCGGAGGCTGGGTTTGCATCTCATTGTCTCTCGGCTGCCCGTCATTCCCTCCCCAGCCTGGACCCCTCTTTCCCGGAGCCTCACCATTTGGCCCCCTCGGCCTCTCCAGCCTCACAGCGTCCCTCCAGACTCTCACACTTAGGGTCCCGGCTTCTTCCCTCCAGCCGCCTGGCCACACCCCTGCAGCCAGTGGACTCACCATTCACCTGTGCTCGCATCCATGCCATCCTGGACCAGATGGGCCATCTGCCCCAGCAGCCTCTCTGTCGCTGGAGGGTCCCCGCCTCCACCCCACACCCACAGGTGTCAGCAGAGAGTGAGAATGCTGAGAGATGAGAGACGGGAGGGGCGAGGCAGGGATGTCCATAGGGATTGTGGGGGTGCTTGCTGACTTGGCACTGCCATGTTGGGGGGTGGCCCCTGGCCCCATGCCCTGGTACCCATGTGGATTTGCCCACAAAAGGATAGATCTCTCCCGGGGCCAGCACCACCTCGTGCTGCTGCAGGGGCTGGTGGCCCCTCCACCCCAGGGGCTTAGTTAGCAAAGCTGCTGTGGGTCAGACCAAGGTCACCTGGGGAGGGCCTCCCGGGCCAGGCGCCCAGCAGGCAGGGTGCTGCCAAGTGCGTGGTCAGCAGCAGTCGGGGTGGACAGGGACCTTCAGGCCAAAGCAGGGTGGGACTCCAGGGCTGGGGCTGCTGGGATGTGCCTGGTGCGTCTTCCTCCTTGTTGTGGGACTGGAGTGTGGATGGGGCAGTGTGCTGGGAGGGGTCTGCACCAGGTCCCTGTCACCGTGCCTGGACCCACGTTGTCCTCAGGGTCCATTTCCCCAGCCCTGGAACAAGCTAGTCTGTGGTGAGATTCCCTGTTGTCCAGGCCGGTCCTGGGCATGTGGCTGCAGCTGGGCTGGCAGGGAAGGTGGGGTCACCTGCTGCAGGGGCCAGAGAAGCAAGGGCACAGTAAGCCAGGGGTGGGGGTGCAGATGCTGGGGCCAGTCCCCTCGCCAGACCTGCCACCTGCCCACCCACTGAGGGCTGCCCACTCCAGTTCCTGCTGGGCACTGTCCCTCTCGGCGTCCTGGGTGTTTCCCATCAGCCCAGAGTCCCCTGCTGCCAACGCCGTTTTCCACGTCTCTACGCAGAGCGTGTTCCTTGTCAAAATGACAGGAGACAGTGGGAAGTCCCCCAGCCCCTGCCGAGAGCCACTCACGGGACCCTCCCACAGGCAGCTGGGGTGGGCGGTACTGGGTCCCGGCCCCAAACCACTATCCTTTCCCGCGCAGGCGTCCTTGTCTCTGCAGCCAGGAGGGGGCTGGCTGGGGGCCCTGCCTCACCCTCAGAGGTTCTTTGGCCACAGGCTCCCTGGGGCTGTACTCCCACCACCCCTCAAAGGGGCTTTGTGTCACCACAAAGAGTCTCTGTCCTTCTGGGGAAGCCTGGGTGTTGCCATGGTGATGGAGGGACTGGGAAGAGGGGGTCCTCCCTACCGTCTGCAGGGGAAAAGGCGTTCCAGTTTATGGCACTGTGTACGCAGGCCCCTTGGCCTTGCTGGGCAGCTGTCCCTGAGGGCCTCGGTGGGGCCGTTGGAGCGTTGGTAGGGGCAGGGTTCTCATGTCCTGGGCCTGTCCACCTCTGGTCCTAGCCTGGCTGGGAGCCTCAAACCCTCCTCAGGAATACTTAAGTCCCTGCCCACCCACAGTGCAGGCTGGGAGCTGGACTGCAGGCATGGGACCCAGCAGACCCCACCTCCACTGCTCCTGTTCTCCCCGAGGCAGCAGGCCAGCTGTGCAGGTGCCTTGCAGGCTGGTGCTTGTCTAGGGACGATGGAGGCATCGGTCCGGCCACCACCACCCATGCCCTCCCCTCCATGGGCCCCCATGAGCACAGGTGTCATGCTCCTCCTTGGCAGTGCAATGGGTGGGCTGAGCCTGCAAGGGGAGAGGACTCTGCCCTGGCAATCCCTGTGGCCCTCCCTGCCTGGAGCATCCCAGCCCCTGGGGGTGCCTCGGAGGAGGTGAGTCCTCGCTGCCTGCACCCCCACCTTCGGAGCCTGCAGGCGTCACTTCCAGCCACGGCTTGCTGGAGTCTGGGTCAGGCACAGGAGGGGCATTGACGGAGTTCCCTGAATCCCAGCCTGGGGCCCCAGGGATTCCCGTCTACCCTATCCCCAGTGTCCTCATAGAGGGTTTCAAAGGGTGCCAGAGCTGGTGTGGGGGAATAGCCGTCTGTAACCTGTTTCATAGGGAATCTCAGGCCCGGACCCTTTTGGGGGCTCCAGCTGTAGTTCCCTGTGGCTCTGGCCTCCCACGGAGCAGGGAAAACAGCTGGGGTACTCACCTGCTTGCCTGCCCACCCACCATGTCCCACCTGCAGTCACCAGGCTTCTCGTCCTCTGAGGTTCCTGAGTGCTGGGCCTGGGCCAGCCCAGACCGCAGGCTGCCCAGCTCCCAGCGCCCGGAGCCTTGACCTGACCCTGGCCTGCACCCCCAGGTCCAGGGGCTGAGCAGTGCTGCCTCGGTCCTGGCTGCCCTTGGCCCAGGCACCCCATTAGTGCAGAGCCAGAGCCCCGTGGGAAGAGGCACCCCCAGAGTGTTCTCCCTGCACATGGGAGTTGGGTGCCATAGGTAACTGTGTGGACATGCTGGGGGGCAGGAGGTGATCACTGAGCAGCCATCTCTGTGCCCCTCCCCCCGCCGAGGCATCTCATCTACTAGGGGAAATCTAATTTCCAGGCTGAATCTGATTATGGCTCTCTTGGCTGCCTGAAGATCTCACTGCCTCCCCCGATTGGCAGGCGGGTGGGCACAGCCCTGGCCCCACTGGCTTCATTTCCTGGCCTCCAGGCATGCTTGCTTGCTTGCCTGTCAGCTGGAGTGGGCATCGGCTTTTCCCCTTTCTTAACCCTGGTTCTGATCACACCAGCAGCACACACACTCCTACCGGCACTAGGGCTCCCCAGCCATCGCCAGACTTCCAGATGCAGGTCCTTCCAGTCCTTTTCCTGCACGTGTGTGTGCAAGCTCGCAAGCGTGCACACCAGCCCCTCCACGCCTCCTGCATCTCCTGTTTATATCTTTTCACCCACTTCCAGCTGAGGTTCTGGTTTCTCTTAGTGATTTATAGGAGCACCCTGTAGATTGAGCCTGCCACTTTGTTGTTGGGCGTTACAAGGTTTGATCCAACATGCTGATTGTCATTTTCTTTGTGGTTTCTTCTTGGTATGGGAAATCCCAAACACAAGAAACTAAAGAGACTCATGTGATGGGTTCCATACACCCTGCACCAGCCTCCACCATGCTGACGTCACGGTCCAGAAGTGACACTGGCATACGTCGTTCTATCAAAACTTTCATTGCATGTGTTGCTGCAAATGTGCTCGTTTGAAAACATGACCATCTTATGTGGCGCTTCCTTTTGGACCTGGAGGAATGTTTCATGCTCAGAGTCGTGCCATCACCTTTTTCCTTGGGGGTTCCTTCCACTGTTAAAGGCTGAGACTGGGCACTGCCTGTGAGTGACTGTGGCCTGGCACAGGTACACATGGACCCCACCCTGTCTGAGCCCCAGGCCCCCTGTGCCAGCCCTATCCCTAGCCTGGGCACAGTGTCCAGCCCTGTGGGCTTGGCCAGAAGCCATCCCTGAGGCTTTGAGCAGCATCTGAACACAGTAGGGTGACGGGGCAAAGGCCTGGCCCTCCAGGGTGGGGAGCAAGCTCTGTGTGCTGGCAGCTCCCACACTGCTCCTCCAGGCCAAGAGTGGGCTGTGGCACCATGAGGCTTGGGTTCAGCTCCTACAAGACCACTTCCTGACACGCTTGCCCTTCTGGGCGGGTGGAGTGTGGGATGGGCAGTGGGAAGACGTTTTATGGGCACCAGTTCCTCTGTCCCATTGGGGGCAGGGGTAGCCTGGCCATGCTCTGCTGGGTGGAGCCAGGGCCTCTCCCCCCCATGCCTGGCCCTTAGGAAATTCCTCTGACTCCTCAACCCAGATTGGACTCAGGCCCCATAATTTGATTTTCCAGAGCAGGTCTCTGGCTGGACTCCTCCTGAGGAGGAATGTCTGGGTCAGCAAGATGACGTCAAATGTCAGTTTGATTTCAGGGGAGACATTCGGCTTCTACCGCAGGCTCCTCCAACTGTGCCTTTGCTTTCCCGACAGACGAGTGTTGGCCCCCAGGGCCGGGGTGCCGGGGCTTCCTCCTCCATGTGCCCACCCAGCCCCATAGCCCACTCTATTCCCCCTTATCCACTCCTGCATCCACCCAGCTCTGGCCTCTGCCCACCAATCCCAGCTATCTGCACCCACCCTCAGCCACCAGGCTGTCTACCCTCCAGCCCCCCCCCATGTCTCTCCCACCAGTCACCCCCATTCTCCAGTCTCCAGCTGCCCCCATCCTCTCAAAACCACTGGCTCACCTTTCTGTCCACACCCATGCTTCACTCACGTCTGCCCCTTTCTGTGCAGCCTTCATTCTCCTTCCTCCATCCTTCCATTCTCTCACCATCCCCCACCTACCCTTCCATCCATCCACCCATCTGTCCATCCATTTCCCATCCCCCAGTCTACCTTCCATCCATTCACCCATCTGTCCATCCATCTCCTCCCATCTACCCTTCCATCCACCCATCTGTCCATCCATCCATCCCCCAATCTACCTTCCATCCATCCACCCATCTGTCCATCCATTTCCCATCCCCCATCTACCTTCCATCCATTCACCCATCTGTCCATCCTCCCATCTGGCTTCCATCCATCCACCCATCTGTCCATCCATTTCCCATCCCCCAATCTACCTTCCATCCATTCACCCATCTGTCCATCCTCCCATCTGGCTTCCATCCATCCACCCATCTGTCCATCCATCTCCTCCCATCTACCCTTCCATCCATCCACCCATCTGTCCATCCATCCATCCCCCATCTACCTTCCATCTATCCACCCATCTGTCCATCCATCTCCCATCTCCCTTCCATCCATCCACCCATCTGTCCATCCATCTCCTATCTTCCAATCTACCTTCCATCCATCCACCCATCTGTCCATCCATCTCCTATCTTCCAATCTACTTCCATCCATCCACCCATCTGTCCATCCATCTCCTATCTTCCAATCTACCTTCCATCCATCCACCCATCTGTCCATCCATCTCCCATCTTCCAATCTACCTTCCATCCATCTACCCATGTGTCCATCTGTCCACTATCCCCCGTCCATCTGTCTACCATCTGTTGTCCATCCACCTACCCATCTGTCTGTCTGTCTTCACCCCCATGGTGGCTTACTCTCCCCCATTGCTGGTGGGGTGTGGAAACCCCGGGAGAGTCTCTGTGCTGACACTGCCTGCAGTGGGTGAGTGGCCAGTTTCCGCTGTTGCTGGGTCTGGGCTCTCATTTTGTTTTGCAGTTTATTTTTTCAGGGTTCAGTCCCAGGCTCAACCTTCTCAACCCCTGTCCAGGCTGCCGATTTTTTTTTGGCCTTCACATGGGATGTCCCATGGACCTAGCGTCTGGTCACTCTTGAGGTGTGCTGTGTCATGTCTGTCTTGCTGCTAAGTCAGCTCCTAGGGCGGGCGTTTCCTAAGCAGCAGCCTCCTTGAGTCAGTGTGATGCTGGTTGCCGACTCTGGGTGAGGTCGTAGGGGGTCCCCCTGGCAGACAGGTGAGTCCAGAGATGAGAGCCAGGGCCCACCTAGGCTTCACAGCGGGGGGTGCACTTTTCTGTGTGCCCCGAGGCTCCGCTGGGCCCTGGCAGAAGCATGTTCTGTGCCACCCACCCCCAGGATACTCAGCTGGGAAAAATGTCTGTGAAGTCCCATGGTGGATCTTAAAAATTCGTGAACATTTTGCCTTCTGTGACATCATGTGTTCGTGTTAGTATTGAGTTACGTGTTAGTATTGAGTTACTATCTGAAAAGCTGTTCTGTGGTTCTGGCCTGGGTCACCTGTGTCAATGCATGTTTTTGTGTCGGGAAGTGGGCTGGGGCCTTCTCTGGTCTGACTAGCTGTCACCTTGGGCTGTTCTCCAGGCCACTGAGCTGCTGAGCTGCAGCCTTCGGGGCTCAGAGCATCCTCCTGCTGGGACTGTTGGGAGCCACTCCTCCCGTGAGTGGCTGCTGGGATCTGCCCTCAAGCTTGCCAGTGTTTCAGGATGTCCCCTGGGAGACACGCAGTTGCTTTGTCCCAGCTGAACCGAATGGGGTAGTGGAAAGGTCATTTCGGGGGGTAGGGCACAATGCTGGTGAAGCCAAAGGTCAGGCAGGAGCCTGTGTCTCTGCACAGGGAGGGAGGTAAGCCACCTTGTGTTCACATGGCCACGAGCTGCCCTGTGGTCCTGATCATTGCCACTCAGGGAAAGTGTCCTGTTCCCTTCTGGTCATCGATTCTGAGGTTCAGCTGAGATAGGCAGATGCTGCAGACAAGACTCAGCTGAGGGCTCAGGTGAGCTGGCTCCTGCCACCCCAGAAGGGAAGACGGCCCCACCTCACCCACCAGGAGGTCCAGTCCATACACGCTCAAGGCCGAGTGTCTACACCAGGGCTGGGGCCCGTGGGTGGGCAGCGACGGGTGTGTACAAGGAGGGCTGTGTGACCATTGTGTGACCATGGTCCTACAGTTTGTCTCTTTACGCCCTGGTAGCCAAACGACCCAGTCTGCATTCCTCATACCCAGAGGGCCTCCCCTGCCTTGGGAGTTTGGTTTGTTCTTCCTGCTGTGGCTGACTTAACAGCTCCTCTGCCCCACCACCTTCCCTGGAAGGTCATATTGGCAGTTTAATTTTTGTGACAGGTGCAGGGAAAGCAGAGAGCAGCTTTGGGGCATATGCTGACCTCTTGCCCTAGCTGGGCCTCAGTTTCCCTAGCTGTCACAGTGGGACTGGGCTCTGTGGTGCCCCTTCACAACTCTGAGGTACACCCATGCCCCCAGACTGAGCCTGTCACTCTACTAGCACTGGCATGGCTCAGCCCAGCCTGGCTTCTCCTCTCCAGGGCTCTGTCCTTGCAGCTGCCTCCCTCTGGGCCAGTGGACAGCCCTGCCGGCCCCTTGTGTTGGTGCAGGGGCCAGGGGTCCATGCAGTTGGCCTCAGTGGGCTGGAGGAGACTGGCCTGGAGGAGGCTCTGAGCAGTGCCAGGCACTGGGCCATATTCACTGAGCTCCAGGCAGTGTGACCATGTGTCCCATACCTCGCCTGCTGCTGGGAGCCTAGGTCTGAGCTCCATATACTTGTCCTGTTTCTTTTTGCCCATGAAAAATAAACAGGCTGCATAGCCAGGGAGCAAGCAGGAGGGAAAGTGCTGGCTTGTCACTGTAGCTGCCTGCCACACCTGCCCCCCAGGGGCTCTGGGGCCTCCCCAGGGCAGTGCTGGGCCAGGGCCCAGCCAGCCTGACCTTGCCCCAGCGCTGGGCCTCAGAGGCTCGGGCCCTGCTCTCCTCTGCCGGATCAGGCATCACCACCAGCCATTTGCAGGCTTGAGGTCTCTAACTTCGTGCAGCCCCAGCCAGAACCTTAGCCAGGCTTGTCCTTGGTGTCCTCTCCACCCCATGGAGCAGATGCTGCCCTCGCTCCTGGTCAGTGCTGCCTGGAGCCCAGAGGCTGTGGTCACCTGAACTTGCCTGGATGTCCCAGTCACCTGGCGGTAGTGGAGCTGCTTCTCACTCCCTGCTTGCTGCCTGCACTGGCCCTGCCACATGCATGGGCTGTGTGGCCATGCAAGGTCCCCTACCCTCTCTGGGCCCTGGCATCCACTTCTGTTGAGACAGGGCTGGGGTGCCCTGTGAGATTGAGATGAGCTGGCACAAGCTGTGGGTCGCAGAGGGCCTGGGCAGCAGCGAGCACTCGTCACACCAGCTCTTCCTGCCCTTCGGGGTGCTCTGATCAGGATGCCCAGTGCTGTGGCTGTGCTGGGCCTGGCAGGAGGTGGAGGAGCCAGGTCAGAGCCCCAGGCCCCACAGGGAGTGAGCTGGCGGTTTCCGGCCAGCCTTGGATTAATGGCTTTTAATTTCGAACTTAATCAATGCGGCTTCCCTCCAGAGAGCTGGATGCTGGAGTCTGGGAGTAAGTTGTCTGATCTGGGCATGGGGTAGACAGGGGGCCTGCCACGGGCTTGCCTGGCCGCTGCCCTGGCCTACCTTGAGCTTGCTCTGCTTTGCCCACAGCTAGTGGGCGCCCTGGTCATGGAGGACTGCAACGTGCACTCGGCTGCCAGCATCCTGGCTTCGGTGAAGGAGCAGGAAGCCCGCTTCGAGCGGCTGACGCGAGCACTGGAGCAGGAACGGCGCCATGTTGCCCTGCAGCTGGAGCGTGCCCAGCAGCCTGGTGTGGGCAGTGGTGGCATGGGCAGTGGGCAGCCCCTGCCGATGGCGTGGCAACAGCTGGTCCTGCAGGTAACCCCCTATTGACTTGGGGAGGGTGAAAAAACAGCCAGGTGGGGAAGCAATCAAGGCATCCTGATGGACCACAAGCCAGCAGGCATTGGTTAATTTCAAGACCGCTGGGGCTTATGGGGAGGAAAGGAAACTGGTATCCCAGGGGGGCTTGATGGTTCATCCGTCCACTCATGAGATACATGTGTAATGCACAGGCAAGCATGGGTACACAGTCAAAGCCAAATTAATGTCTTTGGAGGACCCCAGACCTATTGGGGAGCCCTCTTTCCAAGCCCCTGGTACTGAGATGCCTCCAGTAGGCCTGGGTGCTGGAGCCACCCCCACAGCTACCAGACTGCAGACATTGCCAAGGGTGAAGTTTGCACCCCCAAATTGAGGGAGGAAGCAGAACATTCTACTTGGACTGCATGGAGACAGTAGCAGCCAGTGACCCTGAGGCTGCCCCTACCCGGAGGCTGCCCCTCAGGCACTGGGGTGCTCAGTCCAACCCTCCCAGGCTGGAACCAGCTCTGTTCTCCAGCCCACAAACAGGCAGTGTGGGAGAACAACAGCACCCTGGCCGGCGCCCTGGCGGAAAGATTTTCCCACAGCCTGGAGCTGCCCCAACCTCAAAGATAAGGGCTGTCAGACCTCGGCCACTGCCCATCCCCCACTTCACCCCAGCCCTTGATTTTATGTATTCTCAGGGCTGCAGCTGAACTGGGTAGGCTGGCAGGGATGCCGGGGGTGGGGGCCACGTTGGGTTGGCCAGGCCCAGCTGCCTCATGGCAGACCTGCTTCCCAGATTGATCTCATCAGGAAGTGCCTGGCAGCCTACCTGTGAGCCACAGGCGCAGAGCCAGGGCTGAGATGGGGGAGCCAGAGCTGGGGTGCTGCCGCTGTGCCCACTGGGCTGCCACCTCCCCTGCATCCTCCAGCAGGAAGGGTCCCCTCCTCCAGACACCCAGCTGAAGCAGGGCTGACCCCCACCCAGGGGAAGGGGCACCAGCAGGGTGCCCCTTGCCTCAGGCTCAGCCAGGGTGGGTACATGGCTGGACAGTAGCAGCTGGTGAAATGGAGAAGACAGAACCAGCTTAGGCATAAGATCTGAGCCGCCTTCCCTTGGGGTACTGTTCCGGTCCTCCTCCGCACTTCCCTGGGCGGCTCCACTCAGGGCTGCCCTGGATGGAGAATGCGCCAGTGGTTGGGGCAGTTCACCCCTGTGCAGGTGGAGAAACAGAGGCTCGGGCACACAGTGGGCATCCAGAGTCTCGGGCATGCTGACCTGTGTACGTAGCACGTCGTGGAGGTAGACAGCGGACCCAGGAGAGGCTCAGTTTCTGAGTGGGGTCTGGGGAAAAGTGGGTGGGGGCCCCTTCTCTCGCCATATCCGCTGAGCCTTCCTGGCCTGGTTCTAGCTCTTTTCATCTCAGAAACTGTTTCCTAGTTAATGATGCTGGAGCCATTGGCTTGAATCTGTGGGGTATGACCCAAGAAGGTGGCGCCAGCCCTGCCCCTCCCCCTTCCCTGGCCCCCTCCCCTGGGTGGCCTCTTGGGAAAATGTCATCCCTGCCGCCAGGAGGGACGAAGCGCCCAGAGCCAGGGAGGGGGCTTGGGGTAGCCCCTGGCCCCGCCCCGCCGCAGAGCCCCGCCCGCGCTGGGCGCACTTCGGGATGGGGCAAGCGCGGCGCACCCGGCGCCCGGCCCGCCCGCCTGGGCGCGGCCCCGGCCGATTGGCTGCTGGGCGCGACCGCGCCAGGGCCGCCCCGCGGGCAGCGAGTCCGCGGAGCCGAGCCCGAGCGGCCGAGGCGCCCGAGCCGAGCCTGGTCCAGCCGCCGGCCCGCGCCCCGAGCCCTGGCCCGATGCCGGCCGAACTCAGACAGGTTGGAGGGAACTTGGCTGGGGGGTGCTGGCCCGGGCCGGGCAGCGGGGGATAGGACGCGCCAGCCGGCCCGGCCCCGGGGGACCCGCTTTTGTTCCTCAGAGCCGCCGGCCCGAGGCGGCTATTGTCTGCCTCCCGCCTGGCTGTGGCAGGCCGGGTGGGGTGGCGTGGCTCCCAAGGTGCAAAAGACGGCTGGGCGCACCGACGTGCGGGCGGGGCCGCAGGGTCTCCGGAGTCGTCCCAGGGGCTGGGCGTGAGTCCCCACCCAGCAGAGCGACCCTGCGTGCGGAACGGGCAGGGGCCCGGTGGGCGCAACCTGGCCTGCACTCGGGACAGGTGCTAGGGGAGCGGGTAGGGGCAGAGCCTTCCCGAGCAGTTCTCTGTGCAAGGGCGAGGCTGAGTCTGGAGAGGGAAGCCCGCTAGGCCTCCTGCTACCCAGGAGCTTCCTCCAGGGAATTGAAGGAGCTTCCAGAGCTTTGATGGAAGCTCCCTCTGTACACGTGAGGGGAGGGGAGAAAGCTGGCCCCACCCACGTGTAGATGCAGGAGGGGGTCTCCAAGGAAAACCCTGGCCTCTGCCTCCCCAAACCAAGGGGGACGGGAAGACAAGGAGCAGCCTGCACTTTGCTCAGAGGGGGTCACATTCAATAACAGGCAGGGAAACTGAGGGTGAGCAAAGGGAAGACCATGGCAGACCCCCTGTGGTGGGAGGCAGGTCTCCCATACACCTGCCTACTTGTATAGTCCTGGTGTGACCCCCCAAGGCCCGGCCACTGCGCCAGAGATGGAGGGGCCAGTTGGGGGGATCATGATCACTGTGGTGGATGATCCAGGGCTGGGCTTGGGAGAGCCTGGATGAGTAACAACCTTGTGCTCCTCTCTCACCCGCTGGCTCCCCAGCGTGGCCTTTGGCCACTCTGCCCAGGGCCATGCCCTGGCAGGTGCACTGCTGCTGTGCAGAGGTGAGGTCCTGGTCCTGAGAGCTCGGCAGAGCCCATGGGCACCAAGTGAGAGGGCGTTTCGTGGTGGCCAAGGCTTGTTGCCTGGGGGGGGATGCCAGCCTGACTTGTCCCAGACTCTACCCGGGAGGGCCATGCTAGGGGTGTGGAACTGTCACTCCCTCACCCCTCCATTCATCCAGTGGCCGTCTTGTGGCCTCGGGAGCCTGGCCCAGGGTGTGGGAGCCAGGTGTGCAGCCTCACTTCAGCCTCTCCCATGTGTGCCAGCAGGGCCTTGGGCTGAGTGGGGTGCCCGCCCCTACAGTCGGTTCTTCGGGACACCGACGGTGGGTGCTTGTCTGTGAAATCCAGGTGGTGTGGGTACATGGGTATCTCCAGACCCAGCTAAGCCCTTCACCCCAAAATTAGGACTTGGCTTGTTTTCTCGGCCCCTTCCTCTGCCATCCCCACACCCATCCAGAGGCTGTCAGGGGCCTCTGCCCAGGTGGCGGCCCCTCTGGTTGGTCTACATCTCGAGTTTTTGCTCCCCATGTCCTGTATCTGGATATTCCCTGGTGCTACCCAGCACGTCCCACGGTCCTAGCACCCTGTTTCTTTCCCATCTCCCTGCGAGGAGGCTGAACCCCAAGTGCATGGTGGGGCACAGAGCCCTCAGGCTGTGCTCAGCCCTCTGCCTCTGGGGACCCTATTGAGAGCAGTTGGGGGGTGCATGGGTCCACCTCTCTGGTCACTCCAGCCCCTCTCACAAGCCCAAGGGGGCTTATGGGAAGCCCCAGGCCTGAGCAGCAGCCCCTCTCTGGGCCGTGCCTGAGGCATCACAGGTGGGAGAGCCACGGGAGGGCTTTGGACCCCAGAGATGAGTGATGGGAGGCTGGGAGGGATGATGAGAGAACGTTGGCAGGACACAGCATGGTGGGTTGGGCTAGGGGTGGGATGTCCAGGATGGTGCCTGTGTCTAGGGTGCAGAGGGGAATAACTCAGAGTCATGTCTGGAGCAGAGGCAGTGTGTGGCTGCAGGGCCAGGGGCCCCTGAGAGTGGGCCAGCCTGGGCAGGTTCACAAGAGTCACGGTGTCATGGAATAGGGCACTGGGGCCAGGCAGGGATCCAGGTATCCTGACCAGCCCCTCTGTCGAAGACCAACTGTGTGCTGGCCATTGGCCCACCATCCCATAGCCCAAGCCACAGGATGGCCTTGGGTCTCTCAATACCCTAGGCCTCAGTTTCCTTATCTGCCACCAGCTCTAAGACCCCTAGAGTGGATACCTGGGTTGGAGACTAAGGGAGTTGGTGGCCCCCGTCTGTGTGTGTTGAGAGTATGTGAGGCCTTGTGTGGACGAAGGTGTGGACACATGGGAGGGAGACACGAGGATATGTGTACTTACCCAGTGCCTTTGGGAGCCGTGAGTGCTGAGCACTTGCTGGGCAGTTAGGAGAGCACGCAGGTCGCTGTGCCTGGGACTGAGTGCCTGGTCGGGTGCTCGCACACGTGTGCACATGCACGCGTTTCTGCCTGGGAAGTCAGGTGCATGTGTGTGTCCAGATCCCTGTCCGAGTGTACGCATGTGTGCCTGAGCTGTTAATGGGGACCGGGCTTTCCCGTGATCACCAGCTGACTCACGCTCCTGTCCGGGTGAAGTCATCATTTGTTTTTAGCTCCCTGAGGTCATTTGCCAGCTGAGACTCTTGGGGCCTTGGGATCCTGCTGCCAGCCTTGTTGGGGGGCCCTGGCTCTCCTGGACCACGAGGCTCTTGCCCGGTCAGACCCTCACCACAGTTGGGGTAGGAGGGGTAAGCTGGGCCTCAGAGTGGCAGCAAGGTCCCCGGATATTTTTCCCTTCCTTTGCCCCTTACCCCTCTCATCTACCTAGGGATGAGGGGGCTCTCCTCTGAGTGTTTAGTGTATGCAAATATATGTAAATCTGAGGGGCCGCATCCCACTGGCAGAGTGTCCTGAGCAACGTCCCCTCAGTCTTGCCCCCCACAACCTTCACCCCACCACGGAGCTGCCACTTCTCAGCCCCAGGCCCTGCAGAGAAAGCCTGGGGCCTGACACGTATTCACCCCTGCAGGGGCCACATAGGATGGGTCAGCCGGGCCCCAGCAGCAACAGGCTGCCCTGTGGGACAGTCCTGGCTCTCCAGGGCCCTTGGAGAAGAGCCCAGCCTGCCCTGCCTGGCAGCCTGCCACTGTCCTCACTCCGGGCCTCAGTCTATTTCTCTTTCCCAGGGAACAGGGTCGCCGCTCTCTGGCCAGGGCCCCAGCAGGCATCCACCACCCACATCCCAGGACAGGGACTAGGTGAGGCTCAGAGGCCCCCTGGCCAGACTGTCTTCCCTCCGGTGCCTGAGACACCCCCCTAGCATTGTGACATTCTGGGTGAATCCTTTCCACTGAGTCAGGCCTCAGTTCCCCATCTATGAAGTTATCTATCATCCTCTGAGGTCCTGCTCCAGCAGGGGAGGGGGAGGGGCATTCTGTGGCCTCGTCTTTCCTGTTTCAGCAGAGCCTGAGGTCTGCACCTGTCCTAGCTCCTCCCTGGACCCCGCACTGCACGCATCAGGGGTCAAGCATTCCTCTAGGATCAGACCCCGACCTTGGCAGGCAGGTCCTGAGGGCAGCCCTGGCCACCTTGCCTGGCTCACCTCCCAGGCCTAGGATGGAGCCAGGTGGAGCTCAGAGTACGTGCAGGCCCCAGGGGGCACGGGCAAGAGGCCTTCCCTGCAAGGCCTGGGGCCTGGGCTGGGGAGGGAGGCCTGTCCTCTTCCTGACCCGGCTCAGGCTGCCTGGGAATGTGTCTCCCTCACCCGCCCCCACAGCTTGGGTTTCAGCCCCTTCCTGTCCTAGCTGGGTGCTGATCCCAGACTCTGGTGCAGCATGGCCCTGATGCCTTGGCCGGTGTGGTCAGAGGCCCAGCGGCAGACTGAGGGTCTCGGGTCCCCAGCATAGAAGGGGTCGGACCTGGCTCTAATGTGGGCCAGTGTGCCATCTTTGTGCCTCAGTTTCCCCACTGACAAGTCTGGCCAGTAGGCACGTGGGCCTCTGAAGGGCCTGTGCTCAGAGCAGTCTCGCTTCGAATTGGACTGTTGCCACCTCTTGCAGGTTGGTGTCAAGAGTGGCCCTGGGCCTGAATTCACCATATTTCTAACATCCAATACGATACCCAGGGTGTCAGTCACTTGGGGGCCTGAGGGAGGGCCAGGCCCTGCCCACTTGACACCCGAGAATGCCCGGGGTGGAGGGAGTGAGGATATTTTGGTGCTCTGGGTGCATAGGGCATTCTGGGAGTGGATATTTCTGCCTTTTGAGGACGTCTGGCTGGCCTTGGTAGCAGGAATCTGGGCACAGCCACAGCAGTCGGTGAGCAGTGCTAGAAATGCCCCTCCCCAAGGCTTCTGCACTTGGGGCTTCTGGGGTGGGGCAGGGAGGAGACCCCTGACACCATGAGGGCCCTGTTGGGTAGCAGTTGACCTTGGGGGGTGTCCTGCAGGTCCCACTTGGAGCCTCCTTGGGCCTGGAGGAGCAGGTGGCAGCCAGGCCTTGCAGGTCAGGAGGCACCCCCTCAAGACTGCACCCCCGGGACCTGTGGCCTTACCTGCTAACTCAGCCTGATGAGGCCTGGGGTGGGGTGACAGGACATGCTTAGCACTTTAGTGTTCAGAAGGCAAGGACACACCACCGTCCTCGATCGCTCAGATGGGGATAGGCCTTGGAGTGAGTGGGCCTGGAGGCAGGGAAGAGGCACACACTGAGGCCTGCTTGGGGCCCTGCCTGCCAGGCGTGTGTGGGCAGTGGGTCCTGTCCTGCAACAATGCCCCTTGCTCCAGGAGCAGAGCCCAGGCAGCCAGGCCTCGCTGGCCACGATGCCAGAGGCCCCTGAGGTGCTGGAGGAGACGGTGACAGTGGAAGAGGACCCCGGCACACCCACCTCTCATGTGTCCATCGTCACATCCGAGGACGGCACAACCCGGCGCACTGAGACCAAGGTACGGCTGGGCCCAGGCAACGGGAGAGTGGCCGAGCGGCTGCCACGGTCCGGTCTGCAGAGTGGGCACATGAGCAGCCCCCTAGAGGCCGGCCTGGCCCCACCACAGCAATTTCCAGGACTCTTGGGCTGCCCAGCCCACTGGCCACTTCCTTGTCCACCAGGTTACCAAGACGGTCAAGACGGTGACCACGCGGACGGTACGCCAGGTGCCCCTGGGCCCAGACGGACTCCCCCTACTGGATGGTGGACCCCCGCTAGGCCCTTTTGCTGATGGACCCCTGGACCGGCACTTCCTGCTGCGTGGTGGAGGCCCGGCTGCCACGCTCTCCCGAGCCTACCTCAGCAGCGGGGGCGGCTTTCCCGATGGCCCGGAGCCCCGGGACGGCCCCAACTACGGCAGCCTGTCACGGGGGCTGGGTGTGCGGCCCCCACGCACTGGCCCCCTTGGCCCCGGCCCTGCTGATGGCTGTTTCACACTGCCTGGCCGCCGTGAGGCATTTCCCGCCGGCCCTGAGCCCGGGCCACTGGGCGGCCGCTCCCTGCCTGAGCACTTCCAGGCAGAGCCGTATGGCTTGGAGGATGACACTCGCAGCCTGGCCGCTGATGATGAGGGCGGCCCTGAGCTGGAGCCTGACTATGGCACAGCCACACGGAGGAGGCCTGAGTGTGGGCGGGGCCTTCGCACCAGGTGAGCACCCGTCCCCTGTGGCTGCCTCCTCCCGGAAAGTGCCTCCTGGCCCCCCAGCTGCAGGATAGCCCACAGGTGGTCAAGCTGCAGGGGTCGAGCTAGTCAGGGACACTTTAGTTTGAATTGGCCCCAGCTCTGGTGCACAAGAGTCGCCAGGGCAGGCCCCGAGGCAGTAGAAGTCAGGCTGGGCACCCTCCCTTGGGCCTAGGGCATGGGAGAAGCTGGTCTGGTGACGGCGCCCAGCACCTGCTGCCTTTGCTTCAGCCAGATGGCCATGTAGACCCGAGCACGAGAGGCCCCACACTCTTCCCGGGCCTCAGTTTCCTCCATGCACAGTAGTCACTGAAGTCTAGAGCCCCTGGCCTTTCCGTCACAGCCTCTGGTTCTGTCCCCTCCGCCCTCAGTTTCTGTATCTGCAGAGTGGGACTGTGACCACAGCCTAGGTCTGGATTCCACGGTGTGACCCCGGGCCAGTCCCCTGACTGCTCCAGCCGCAGTCCCTGCCCTGGGAAGTGAGTCTGATAACGACAGCCCACAGGGTGACTGAGAGCCAAGGACATGCTGTGCCCTAAGGGGCGGCGACCTGAATGCCCCTCAGATGACCCTTCTGGGATGGCTGTAGGGAGCCAGGAGGAGAGCCGCCCACTCCTCCACATCCTGGCACCAGCTGGAGATGGGCCTTGTGGGGAGATGGGGTGGTTTTGTGGAAGGAAGGTGCCCCTCCCCAGTTGTAGACAGACATTCCGCAGAAATACGTTTGGCTCAGGATGGGGGACACTGCCTGTGACAGGAGTGAGTGAGCTCCCTGTCTTGGGATGGATGCGAGCCCTGGCAGCTGGCAGCTGGGGTTTGGCTCTGTCAATGGCTCTGAGTCCATTCTTTTTTTTTTTTTTTTTTGAGACAGAGTCTCACTCTGTTGCCCAGGCTAGCGTGCCGTGGCGTCAGCCTAGCTCACAGCAACCTCCAACTGGGCTGTGATCCTTCTGCCTCCAACTGGGCTCAAGTGATCCTGCTGCCTCAGCCTCCTGAAGAGCTGGGACTACAAGGCATGTGCCACCATGCCCGGCTAATTTTTTGTATATGTATTTTTAGTTGGTCAATTAATTTCTTTCTATTTTTAGTAGAGACGGGGTCTCGCTCTTGCTTGGGCTGGTTTCAAACTCCTGACCTTGAGCGATCCTCCCGCCTCGGACTCCCAGAGTGCTAGGACTACAGGCGTGAGCCACCGCGCCCGGCCTCTGAGTCCATTCTTGTTGGGCTGCTTGTCAGTCTCGGCGTTCCCTCCCTCGGGGCCAAAGTGCAGATGTTTGCAGCCCAGCCCTGCTGGGTAGGTTCACAGTCCCCTGGAGAGGCTGTGCTGGGCAGCTCGGAGGTAGGGCTGGCCGCTGCTGTCAGGATGTCCATGCGCTCCACTTGCCTGCACAGGGCCTATGAGGACGCAGCGGATGACGGCGGCGAGCTGCTGGACGAGCGGCCTGCGTTCCCAGTGGTGACGGCGCCCCTGGCCCAGCCGGAACGGGGCAGCCTGGGCAGCCTGGACCGGTTGGCCCGTCGCTCACCCTCAGTGGACAGTACCCGCAAGGAGCCGCGCTGGCGGGACCCTGAGCTTCCCGAGGTGCTGGCCATGCTGCGGCACCCTGTGGACCCTGTGAAAGCCAACGCGGCCGCCTACCTACAGCACCTGTGCTTTGAGAATGAGGGCGTCAAGCGGCGCGTGCGGCAGCTGCGGGGGCTGCCACTGCTCGTGGCACTGCTGGACCACCCTCGGGCAGAGGTGCGGCGCCGGGCCTGCGGGGCGCTGCGCAACCTCTCCTATGGCCGCGACACTGACAACAAGGCTGCCATCCGGGACTGCGGTGGTGTGCCTGCCCTGGTGCGCCTGCTGCGGTCTGCCAGGGACAACGAGGTCCGCGAACTCGTCACTGGTGAGTGGGCCCAGCTGTGCTGGCCACCCCTGGGAAGAGGGGCGCAAGGCTGGGTTGGGGAGGTACCAGGCCACTCAGGGCTCGTGGCCAGTAAAACACCCAGGTTGTCGGGTAACCCGGCTCTGGGACAGCTTGCCTGGGAGGCAGGTGTCAGGCCCAGCCATTAGGGCGGGTCCCCAGTCCCTCTGCCCTCAGGCAGGCCCCTCGGCATGGCCCCACATCCCCAACGCAGCTGCCCTGGGCCTTGCACTTTGTGGGACCTGAGGGACAGGCGGAGCTACCTGTGGCCTCACGTGCCCACATAGCAAGGAATGGGGGAAAGGGCAGCCCTGCCGCACCCCTCCTCTGGGGCTCCTTGCCAGCTGGGAGCTGCAGCCTGGTGCTGTCCACACATCTCGTCCAGGCCAGGACAGCCCCATAGCTCCCCTGGCTTTTGTCACTTCTGCCATTGTGTGTGAGCTGGGGCACGGAGAGGGTGGGGTGGGTCTTGGGCATGGCCACCTGGGCAGGGAGGGAGGAGGGATGCCTGTGGTCAGCATGGTTGGCCGGTCGTGTCCACAGGCACGCTCTGGAACCTGTCGTCCTATGAGCCCCTGAAGATGGTCATCATTGACCATGGCCTGCAGACACTGACCCACGAGGTCATCGTGCCCCACTCAGGCTGGGAGCTCGAGCCCAATGAGGACTCCAAGCCTCGAGATGCCGAGTGGACGACTGTCTTCAAGAACACGTCAGGTTGCCTGAGGTGCGGGCAGCTCCTGCCCAGGCAGCATGCTCCCATGGGGTGACTGGGTGCCTGACCACACGCACCCCTGGGCCATTCTTCTGGTCGCAGGGAGGGCGGTGAGCCGCCCACATCTCGGGCTTCGAAGCCATGGTGTGAGTGTGCAGACGTGGAGTGAAGCCTGGTGGAGCGGTGCTCACCGCCCAGGTCTCCCGGCTCTGCAGTGCTCAGCCCTGCCCAGCACACAGCCCCTACCCTGAACCGCCACAGCTGGGGGACGCTTGGACCCTCATGTCCATCTGCCTTGGGGTCTCATCACACCTCCCTGTGACCTCTGCCCCTGGGGACCCCTGCAGAGACCTCTCAGGCAGAGCCCTGGTCCCACAGCCTGCCTGTCCATCGGGATGTGCCCCTGCAGCCCTGTGGGGTCCTGACCTCGGGGCATATGAGGGCCCAGACCCATTGTTGGCATGGAGGTGGGGTACACAGAATTTCCTCTTGGGGCCCATCTCTGTCCCTTTCCAGTCCAAGTGGGAGCCAGTGAGCCGCCTGTTCCCCAAGGAGCTGCCAGGCTTGGGTGTACCTCCTGGGACTAGGGGGTAGTTAGGCCCCTGGCCCCCTGTTCCCTGTGCCCTAGGCTGGGTGTCCTGTCCCAGTAGCCCCAGGGGGGCAGTGGGGCCTATTCAGAGATGAAGACAAGTAACCGAGGCTGGGCTGTGGCTGGGGGAGTTCCCATGGGGGCCAGGAGTCACCAGGCCTGCTCTTGGCCACCCAGGAACGTGAGCTCAGATGGCGCCGAGGCCCGGCGGCGACTCCGGGAGTGTGAAGGGCTGGTGGACGCGCTCTTGCATGCCCTGCAGTCGGCTGTGGGCAGAAAGGACACGGACAACAAGGTGGGCCAGGCAGGGTGGGGCAGGCCCACAGCCTCCCACCAAGAGCGGGGGAGAGGGCAGTGCAGGAACAGGCCCTTGGGCAACACAGTCTGGGGTGGGCACTGGACGTGGCCTTTTTCACAGCGGCCACACTGTGAAGTAAGTGTGATCTTCCCCAGCGAGGTTCTGGGCTGTGTGGCCCTCGCTGAGGGCCCCATCCCACACTTCTGGGACCGCGGTGGCTGAGGGTCTGCTCTGTGCCTAGGGCTCTTGGGGGGGTGGCTGCAGTCCCCATGCCCAGTGGCCCCGCCCCAGCCGCTGGCCTCTCCCTACAGTCAGTGGAGAACTGCGTGTGCATCATGCGGAACCTGTCCTACCATGTGCACAAGGAGGTGCCTGGAGCCGACAGGTACCAGGAGGCCGAGCCCGGGCCCCTGGGCAATGCCACAGGCCCCCAGCGCAGGAGGCGGGATGATGCCAGCTGCTTCGGTGGCAAGAAGGCCAAAGGTGGGTGGGTGAGGCTGGGATACCACTCTAGACCCCTGCCCTGGCTGAAGGCTCTCTGAACCCATGGCAGGCAGCAGACGTGGGCCAGAGGACACCTGGTCAGTCCCCAACAGGCAGGTTGGGGAGCAGCGAGCAGAGGACGGTATACTACCCCGGGTTACCACTGACAGGCCAGGGTGTGGGACTCAAGCCCTGCCTCCCCTGTCTACACAGTGGGGCCCCCAGGAGGGCACAGGGGAAACCATGAGGTGGTCCTACCTGTGCCCAGCCCCAGCCCCTCCACTCTGGGGAAGGGCTCTGAAAGCGCCACTGATGATGCCACCTGCTGGCCACTCACAGAGCAGCTGTAGATCCTGACCAGCCCAAGTGGCAGCCCCCATCCGCCTGGGCAATCGCCCTGCACACCCTTCCTCACACCTGCAGGGTGTAGGTTCCTGGGACCCACATCCCTGGTGGCTGCAGTGGCGCCTGTGCACTGCTACCTTCACCTGCCTCACCGACCCCCAGCCTCTCCTCCCTGTCTCACTGGGAGGTGCTCAGCCCCTAGAAGTAATTAGGGTGAGGTTCCTCATGCTGCCTGCTCTGGCCAGGGTGTACAATAGGAAACCAAGGCCTGTGGGAGGGCATGGGGGTACCTTTCACTCAGGCTCCTCTCCTCTCTCCTGTGCTTCCTCCTGCTGCCCAGAGGAGTGGTTCCCTCCAGGTGAGTCCCTGCCTGTCCTGCAGTCCAGGCCTGGCAGGTGCAGTGGGCTCCTGGGAAGGGGGAAGCACCTTCCAGCCTCGTCTGCGCCAGCCCTGGTCTCAGCACCTGGCCGCCATCTCTATGACAGTGGCAGGAATGTGCACCCCAGCTGCCCCTAACCTCAGACTTGCAGAGGGTGGGCAGGGCCCAGGGTGTTTGTCCCTAGGAGCACCAGGGAGCAGAGTTTGCCCCTCTGATGGAATGGGTGGTGTGTGGCTTGGGGAGACAGCACAAAGGTCCCATGAGGGTAGGGGTTGGGGGGCAGATCATCTGAGCTCAGCTCTGCTGCCTTCCCAGAGGAGAGAATCTTTCTCATCTGACATGGGGACAGCGGCTGGAGGCAGCTAGCTCGCTGTCTGGGGAATGTGCACACTTGGGCCCCACTAGTGTTACCTGGGGCTGCTGTGGGCTTTCAGCCTGGGTATGGGGGTTTCTGCTGCCTGAAAGAGCCTGGGACAGTGTCCTGGCCCTAGACTGGGAGAGTTTTCCCCTTGGGAAAGCTCTTGGTCTAACCCTGCCCTCTGTGTGATCCAGGCAAGTCCTGTCTTGTCAACTCTCTGCTTGTAACTACCTGCCGCCCCACCTGGGCTCCCGGCTGTCTCAGCTGCACACGTAGTGGCCGCCAGAGAGCCATGGGGAGGGTCTGTGTAAGGCTCTCAGTCCCTGGTGGGAGATAGTCCCAGGGGATTGGGGCAAGGCTGGGATGTCCCCAGGCCCCACTGCCACTGCTGTCCTCTGGGCCAACCCACCTGCTCAAACTCTGAGAGTGGGGCTCTACTCCCATACTGGATACAGAGTGTTCTTTGGGGCCTGGTCAGGAGAGGGCTGTTCCAACCTTCCTGACACACTCCTGTCCCCAACTAGGTCTGCTTGACCTCCTGCCCTGCCTTGCTTTCCAGGGAAGAAGGATGGTGAGGTGGACCAGAACTTTGACACGCTGGACCTGCCTAAGAGACCCGAGGCTGCCAAGGGTGAGTGGGCTGAGGCATACCCTGCACCCTTGGGGAAACCTGGGCCTAGGACTGTCCCCACGGTGAACCTTTAAGCCATCAGGCAGGGATCAAATGGGGAAACCGAGGCCCAGAGGTATGGGGTTCCCCAGAGTATAGTCCAGTCCCAGGGTACCTGCTGGAGTGTTTGGAATCAGTGTCATTTCAGGCAAGGTGGGTAGAGAGGCAGAGAGGCCAGGCGCTTCCACGGCCACACAGCAGTTGCAGGTGGGCAGGGTTGGGGGAGTCCCCCAGTGAAGGCAGGGCCTCCAGTGCCAGCCACAGAGCTGGGGTTCATGCAAGCGGACTGGGAACCAGGCAGGAATGGTCAGACTCAGGTTCAGGGGCTGGGCCAGAGGGACTCAGCCTGCCCAGCTTGTCCTTCCTGTCCCCAGGTCTGTGGCATCCTGCAGTGTTGGCCCTGGGAACCAGCTTGAGGGAGAGAGGTCTGCCTGGCCAGCCCTGCAAGTGGGAAGACCAGCAGGTCCCCAAGTGGGGTGGAGGGGGAGGGCCCTGCGTGGGGGTCTGAGGACAAGGGTCACATACAGGCAGAGCAGCAGCCTATGCAGATGCCTTGAGAGGGGTGAATGTGAGTGTTTGGGGGCTGGAGCACAGCGGGCACTGGGGTGTGAAAACTGGGGAAGAGGTGGGAACGGGGGCAGGACAGGAGACGGAGGCAATGTCTGCAGCCAGGCACAATCCCCCATGTGGGGACAGGCAGGCCTGGAAGGCTGCCTGGGTGCCTCCTCTCTGGAGACTGCAGGGCACCAGGGCAGGTCCGGTTGCTGGGGAGCCTGGAGTGTTCGCTGGGGAGAGCGGGTCCTGTTGCTAGGGCAGCTGCCCTGGTCACAGCCTCAGTTAGTTTGTGCTAGGCGGGCCCTGCCGCCCAGAACGGAGCCTTGGTTGCACAGTCTGTTCCCTGCGAAGGCGGGCCCTGTTGCCAGGGGCGGGACCTTGGTTGCACAGCTTCAGTTGCCTCCAACGCGGGCCTTGTAGCCAGGGGCTGGGCCCTGGTTGCACAGCTTCTATTTACCACCAACCCGGGCCCTGTTGCCAGGGAGGGAGGGCCCTGTTGCCAGGGGCGGGCCCCTGGTTGCATAGCTTCCATTACCACCAACCGGGGCCCTGTTGCCAGGAGCGGAGCCCTGGTTGCACAGCTTCAGTTACCTCCAACCCGGGCCCTGTTGCTAGGGGCGTGGCCCTGGTTGCACAGTCTGTCCCCTGCAGAGACAGCCCTGTTGCCAGGGACGGTGGAGTTTGTTGCTAGGGGTGGGGCCCTGGTTGCCCCCTCCTCCCCACCCCAAGTTCTTGGGCTGCCTTTGCTGCCTGGCGAGTCGCATGGACTACGCCTCAGTTTGTTCCTCTGTGAAGTGGATCGCTTCCCTTCTCTGGCTACACTGCTAGTAAACAGCATTGCGCAGCTGCTCTGCACCCGGCCCTGGCCCCAGCGCACCCAGGCCCTGGGCAGGAGGGGAGACGGGTGACCGTGGGTGGCGGCTGCTCTCCCTAGGCTTCGAGCTGCTGTACCAGCCTGAGGTGGTGCGTCTCTACCTCTCCCTCCTCACCGAGAGCCGGAACTTCAACACGCTCGAGGCTGCCGCCGGTGCCCTGCAGAACCTTAGCGCGGGCAACTGGATGGTGAGGGCCAGGGCTGGCGGGAGCTGAGGGTCTCCAGCGCCCAAGCTCAGGGAGGGTAGGGGCACGTGGGCTGCAGGCCGCGCTCTGGACGGAGGTGGGGCCGCTCGGAGGAGGTGGCGTCAGGGCTCTGCCGGGTAGGGAACAGGACCAGGTAGGGGAACAGGACCGTTCTGGTCCAGAGGCAGGAGCGAGCCTGGCCCTTGCCACTGAGCCCCACCCCTCCCCCACTGCGCAGTGGGCCACCTACATCCGGGCCACTGTGCGCAAGGAGCGCGGGCTCCCTGTGCTTGTGGAACTGCTGCAGTCCGAGACCGACAAGGTGGTGCGCGCTGTCGCCATCGCCCTGCGCAACCTCTCGCTGGACCGGCGCAACAAGGACCTCATCGGTGAGGAGCTGGCCCGGCAGGCCTGGGCGCGGAACCGGGCAGGCAGCTCCGGGGGCCTGCCTTCGTGCCCGAGGGATGGGTGGTTTGGGGGTCCCGGTCCCATCCCCTTAGCTCAGCCCCCTGTTCGCAGGGGTCTTGCGTGTTCCGGGGCCTGATCCCTGCTCCACCCCAGAGGCTGGTTGGAGGCATGCCCTAACCCTGCCCCACCCCCAGGGAGCTATGCCATGGCGGAGCTGGTGCGCAATGTGCGAAGTGCGCAGGCACCTGCGCGGCCCGGGGCCCGCCTGGAGGAGGACACGGTGGTGGCTGTGCTGAACACCATCCACGAGATCGTGTGCGACAGCCTGGACAACGCGCGCTCGCTGCTGCAGGCCCGCGGTGTTCCTGCGCTAGTGGCCCTCGTCGCGTCCAGGTGGGGCCAGGGCGGGGTTGGGCACTGCTGCGGAGGGTCCACGCTGACCCGCCCCACTGACCTGCCCTGCCCGCTGCAGCCAGTCGGTGCGTGAGGCGAAGGCGGCGTCGCACGTGCTGCAGGCTGTGTGGAGTTACAAGGAGCTGCGCGGCGCCCTGCAGAGGGATGGCTGGACTAAAGCGCGCTTCCAGGTGCAGTCTGCCGGGTCTCCCTCACTCCACCGGGTTGGACCCCAAGCCAGAGCGCCCCGACCTCACTCCCCACCTGTGTTTGTGTCTCCCCAGTCGGCAGCTGCTGCTGCTAAGGGACCCAAGGGGGCACCGAGCCCTGGGGGCTTTGATGACAGCACACTGCCCTTGGTAGACAAGAGCCTTGGTGAGTCCTGGCTGGTGGATGGTGGGGGTCGGAGTAGACAGGTCTTCTGCCACCAGATGGTCCCATAGCTGGTCTCCTGGGGACTCCCTGTGGCATCTGCGTTTGTGTCACGTTGGCGGCGGGGGGTTGTCCGCTGACAGGCTGGGTAAAAGGAAGCAAAGGCCTTAGTATCAGGGCATCAGGGTCGCCAAGGCCAGCCCTGCTGCAGTCTGTGTGCCTGGCCCCCGACCACTGTGGGCAACCAGTCACCTCCCCATGCCTTGCAGGCAGCGAGAAAACAGGCAGCCGAGACGGGTTCCCCATGGATGCACTTGGCCCAGGTGAGTGCAGGCACGCTTGGGAGTAGCTGAGGTCAGACATGAGTCTGCCGGCTCTGTGGGATGGCTGTGGGGGGTGTTGGTTGGAGAGCAGAGATCTGGGGTGCTCAGGAAGCGAGGAGCAGGGCTGCTAGGGAGCCGTCAGTGCCAGCCAGGGCCTCCAACCGGCCAGCTGAGGGGAGCTGGAGGTTGAGCTGCCATGAGGGACAGGCAGGGCCACACCCCTGCGAGGCAGGCGCTGGTGAGAGCTGGGGCTGGCCCAGGCCTCCAGGACAGGGCGGGCGGAGCTGTCTCCCAAAGCCCTCTGTCCCTGGGGCCTCCTGTCCAGGCTGGGAGGGAGACCTGCCCTTATAGGCCCACCGCTTAGAGTCCCCGCCCCACCCCACAGATGGATACTCCACAGTGGACCAGCGGGAGCGGAGGGCTCGGGGCGGTGGCTCTGCAGGGGAGGCCTCTGAGAAGGAGCCTTTGAAAGTAAGTGGCTGTGGGCAGGCACCCAGGGAGGCTCCACGCGTGGGGGTGGCCTGGAGAGTAGCCCACACCTTGCTGAGTCTGGTCTGGGTACTGGGGGCTGCTGGGCCGTGGAGCCAAGCCCGGGAAGCCCTCTCACGGCAGGCAGTCTGTGGGTGCCAGTGGTTTTGTGGACTGCACCCACCAGGAGGGAGGGGGCCTGGAACAGAGCCCTGCCCAGCCACACTTTGCACAGCCCCAGAGAGCCTGCGAGCAAGAGTGTTTGCACCCTCCTCTGCATGCGCATGCCTGGGTGAGGGCAGCACCTGCCGCCTGCTCCATGCCAGTCCCCGGGCTCCGTGGCCAGGCCTGTGTGTGTCCACGCACCATCCCGGCCCGTATGAGCCACACCAGCTTGGCTCCCCCCACCCTGTGCCCCCGTGCTGCCTTGGCAGGCCCACCGTTGCAGCACTCTGGCTTCAGCCCGGCCCCCTGCCCAGGCCCGCCCCGTCGTGAGCTCCGACTAACCTGCTCTGTTATGCTTCTAACGCCCTCCTGTCCACTTGTCCGCTGTGCGCTGCAGCTCGACCCTGGCAGGAAGGCCCCTCCCCCCGGGCCCAGCAGGCCCGCGGTCAGGCTGGTGGACGCCGTGGGGGACGCTAAGCCTCAGCCCGTTGATTCCTGGGTCTAGCTTGCATGCCTGGTACGTTCTCTTTCTGGTTGTCCGTCCACCTGTTTCCCGTCCTCTGGGCGGGGGCTTCCCACTCGTCTCCGCTGTCTGCATGCTCTGCTATTCCTGCATGCCCCCGGCCCCCGCAGGACCCCAGCCTCCGGGCAACAGGCCCAGACGCGGGAGTAGGGAAGGCCAGACCGAGGTCAGAGAGGGAGGGTGCTCCTGGGCCCGCAGCGCCCTCCCCAGCACTGTGGGGTGAAGGCCTCAAGGAGATGGGGCCAGAGCAGGCCGGTCCTACACCCTCAGGTGCCCCTAGCACAGGGCCCCAGGAGGATCAGCAAGTCAGGATGAGCCGTGGAGCCGAGACCCTCAGGGTCATCCCGCACTACGCAGGGCAGCTGCCTCATCCACATCTCTATCCACAGCCCAGGGAGGCAGCCACCCTTCTGGGAGGTTGCGTGCTGTCCGGTCCTCCTCAGTCGGCCCCACTGCCCGCCCACGTCTGCACTGTCCCCTTCTCCCTCCACAGGGCCCAGGCCCAGCTGCGTGTTCTTAGGGGTTGGATCACCCACGAAGGGGCGTCCTGAACAGACCCTGCGGTGGAGCTCACAGCGCCCTGGCGGCAGGGGTTGGCAGCACCTCTGGTCCAAGCTAGGGCCTGACTGTGGACACCCTCCCTTCCTCCCTCCCTCTGCTCTCCCCACCTCACCCCCTAGGCCTGAGTTAGCTGTTTACTGACCGGGTGCTGAGTGTGCTCCAGATGAGGCCTGCTGGGCTGCCGGGGCGGGGCCTAGGGAGGCTTAGGGGAGGGCGCCTGGCTGTGCTTTGGGGCTGGCGGGATAGGAGGGCACGCCCCTGCACAAACAGTGCCTGAGAGGAGTGGGCTAGACCTGGTGGTGGAGGCCCCAGGGGCGGGCAGCCAAGCAGGGAGGGGGGCAAGGGAAAGAAGTTGGACGTGGAGGGCAGGGGCGCTCCCCTGGGCCACCCTGCATGGCAGGCAGACCACAGAGGGAGGCCTGGCCCCAGGAAGGGAGGCTTTGAAGGCAGCAAGATAGGGGCCAGTCTGCGTGTGCCCCCTACCCGCCCTTGGAGTCCTGCAGATGCGTGGGACCCCGTGCAGTGGTTCCCTTCCCTGCGCCTACTCTTCTGGGGCCGAGGCTGCTGCATCCGCCCAGAACCCAGAGTAGCAGTGGCGGGGGACTGCTGTTCAGTGCCTGCTGTTTGTGATTTAAAAAACCAGAAAAACACTGACAAAAAGCATTAAAAACGAAACCAAAATAAGACTGTATTGGTAAACATCTAAATTTTTGTAAGAAAATTTAAAAATTAAAAAAAAAAAGCGACAAAGGAACTTTTTGTACTCTGTGGCTGGGATTCTTTGTGGTCAGTGGCCAGTGATGAGGGCTGCGTTTGTCTGAGTGGCGATGGCCCCAGCGTGGGCTCTGTTCCTGGCCCCTGTGCTCGCTGGTGATCTCTCTATACAGTCAGAGAAGGGGGCTGGCTTCTGGGGGCTTGGCATGGGCCCTAAGCCCGGGAGTGGGGTCTTGGCCAGGGCTGGTCTGGGCACAGGTGGACTCAGCCAGGACAGACTCCATCCTTGTCCCTAGTCTGGGACCTGGGGCCGTGGCAAGCCTTGGAGGTGGTGGGCAGTCTGCCTACTTTGGGAACAGGGGCAGCTCTGGGTTTAGGTAGACACAAACCAATGCCATTTCACTGCTTCACCAGCTGGGCAGCTACAGGAATGCCATGGCCGGTCTGAGCCTCCTCTCCCATGAGCAAGGCCAGGTTGGCTTAGGGAAGGTGCTTCTGCTCAGTGCCACACGGGGACCCAGAAGGGCTGGCACCACTGTGTGGCCGTGTCCACCCATCCTTCTGACCAGTGCTTGTCTGGTCAGAGATGCTGTGAAGGCTGATACCCCGTCCCAGTTTCCTGGGCAGGCAGATGTCCCATGGGGTGGGGGGTAACAGGCGCCCCTGGCCTGGTCACAGGAACAACAGTGCTGAGCAGAGCTACGCCCCTAGCTATGCCTGGGAGCCCCTGAGCCACACATGACACTAGAACCCAGCCAGCTAGGGCCTGGCCTGCAGAATCAGTGTCCCATGAAGGGGCTTTGTAGGGCCAAGCACAGTATCCCACCCCTGTAGTCCTAGTCCTCTGGGAGGCAGAGACAGGAGGATGGCTTGAGGTCAGCAGTTTGAGACCAGCCTGAGCAATAGCAGGACCCCGTCTCTACTAAATATATAAAAAATTAGCCAGGCATGGTGGCGCATGCCTGTAGTCCCAGCTACTTGGGAGGCTGAGGCAGGAGGATCACTTGAGCCCAGGAGTTGGAGGCTGCAGTGAGCTATGATGACACCACTGCACTCCAGCCTGGGCAATAGAGTGAGACTCTTTCTCAATAAAAAGAAAGGGGGCGGGGTGGGAGCATTTTGTGCCAAAGCTGGGGCAGCAGAGGAACCAGGAGCAGCGTGGCACTCAGAAGAAGGGTGCTGAGTCGGTTTCTTATATCTAAACATTTAGATCTTTAATTCTTATTTTACATTTTAAAGCATGATATAGCAAGTGAGACGGTTATATCTAGCAGATTTTAGTAAAGAGGTGGTGATTGAATCTTAAAAAAGCACAGCCTGGAGCTATGAGCGGCCAGGCCTCGGGCCTGAGCATGCTGTGCGTGGGGACAGCCCCCAGCGCTGCAGAAGTGTGCAGCTAGCAGGCGCACTGCACCACCCCTGTGGGAAGCAGGCTTGTCTCGGGAGCCCGGAGCCGTGGCAGTCAGGGCTGCACTGGGCTGCTGGGGCCCACGTAGATGGCCTTCTCCAGGCCGTCCACCGTCCCGATGTACTCCAGGTATGAGGAATAGTGTGTGCACTCGAAGCGGCTGCTCCCGCGGACGTGTGCCAGGAAGTCTGGCGCGCCTGGGCAGATCACATTGTCAGCCAGCAGCACCGTCCCTTTCCGTAACAGGCCACATTCCTGCAGGGAACAGACGGGCAGAGGGGGTGAGGGTCGGCATGCCCACCCCAAAGCGGGACGGGCGCTCCTCACCAGGCTGCGGCCCCACACTCGGTCTGTGCTTGGCCCCTGAGGTCTGGGTCTCCTGAGACCCTCCGTTTTCTCCGCAGGCGACCCCTGCAGGAAAGGGCTCCGTGAGAACAGGGACCTCTCACGCCGCCTTCACTCCTGTGTCTGTCCCAGCCCCTGGAACAGCACATGGCACAGCAGGTGCTGGATGGGTGAGTGGAGGAGATGGCAGGGCCGGTGGCCACCCAGAGCCAGGCACATGCCCAGGGCAGGGGCTGCTGGGGAGGTCCCTGGAGACTCGATGAGCCTACAGGGCCGGGCAGGGCTGACCTCCCGCCAACAAGCCTCCCCTTGGGGGCCAGGGTTGGCCCTGGGTGTCCCCAAGCCCCCGATTTCACACAGTCCCATCTCTGCCAGGGCCGGGCTCTGGGAGGACCCGCCTGTTCCAGGACGTGCAGCCACAGGCAGGGCCCGCTGTCGGGAGAGCCCTGGGGGGATGCGTGTCTGGGCGGGGAGGAAGCGCTGCTGCTCACGTCACTCAGAATAAAGAAACCTTGAGAGGCAGCCTGCGCCTGTGGGGGAGGGGCAGACCATGGCTGGGGAAGTCCAGTCACCCTGTCTTGGAGATTTGACCTTGGAAGCGTGGAGGTTTTTTTATGTAATCACAAAACAAGAAAAAAGCAAAAGCAAAGGATTCGAGTAGGAGGGGTGTCCAGGTGACGTGGGCATGGGTCCTAAGGAGAGCCCTGCAGTGGGCAGGCTGGAGGAGGCTGAGGGGCCCTTGGGCCGGTTGTGGCGACACAGCTGCATGGCCAGTGAGAGAAGGGGACAGCCCCAAGGTCCAGAATTTGAACAGGAAGTACCACTAGGAATCACGCGTTTTCTCTTAGAAAATGAAAAATGAAAAAGAATGTCCTAGCAATGTCCACTGGAAAGAACAGAGTGGCCCAGGAGGAGGGCACTGGCTGGCCTGAGAAGGGGTTCCCTCCCAGTCTGGGCTGGGGCCTGGGCTCCTAGATGCTCAGGGAATCCCAGACAAGACCCCTGCTGGCCACCCTGGCGACACGGGTCCTCAGGTCCATCCTCTGGTCTGGACTCCCTCCCTGTCCACCTCCAGGGCTCAGTCCCTCCCAACCGGCCCCAGGCCCTCCCTGTCCACAAGCTGACGGGATCTTTCTGGAAGACAGGTTTGACTTTGCCCTCAGCTGCTCAAAGCTCTCGGTGCCCAGCCTCCCTGTTCCCAGGAGGTCTTGTGGCCTTTGATACCACCAGGCCCCTGTGGGCGCTGGTCCTGCCCGTCCCGGCCAGGCTGCCCGACTCGTGCTCACGGTCACGCCACACACAGGAATGTCCGGCTCCTGGGAAGGCTGTGGGAGACAAGCAGCAGGCTGCCAGCGCAGGGACAGCCATGTCAGCCTGGGCTGGGAGGCCACGGGGGCAGTTTCCCGAGCCTTGGGAGGGCCGAGGAGCTGCCCAGGGTCCCCTTCTCGACCACCAGGCAGGGACAAGCCATCCTGCTAGGGAGGTTACACAGTGCCACAAGCCCCAGCCCCAGGAAATAAGGCTGCCCCGCTGGATACTTGGCCTCCCTCATGGACACTGGGGCTTCTGAGGGGCCGGGGCTACACAACGAGGAAACTTGGCTTTCCCTGTGCCGGCACCACCAGCAGGCCCCGTGGCAGAGTGGGCCCCGTGGCAGAGCAGGCCCGGTGCTCGTCCCACACAGGCATTGTTGTCCACGGCACCTGCCTCTTCCCCGCTGCTACCGCCCAGCAGCACCTTGCCTGGGCACAGGCAGGCTGGCACCCCTGTTCTCAACAGCCCACCTGGCCCGGCCCCCCACCCTTCCCCACCTGCCACAGGGCCTCCTCAACCCTCAGTGTGTGCTCCCTCACCTCAGGTGATGCCACCTCCAGGGTGAGGTCTGTGACCCAGGTGGCCACCTAGGGCCACCTGGGCAGAGCTCAGCAGGGGCGCCTGGCTCCCGTGACAGGCTGAGGCTGGCCATCGGGGCCCTGTGGCAGCAGCAGGCAGCACAAGGCCCGGCCTCACCTCCAGCAGCAGCGTGTCTGGCAGGTATCGGTCCTTCCAGTGGTCCAGGAAGACCATGTCCAGCGTGTCCACATCATACTTCTTCTTCAGCTGGGGGATGATGTCCTGTGATGCCCCGACCACAATGGTCACCTAGAACAGCGTTCTGTCAGTGCCTGGGCCCAGGGGACCTGCCTAGACACCCACTTGAGCATGTGCCTGGCAGTCTGGGGTTCTAGGGGGACAGGCCCCCTCTGCCCTGTTGCTCCTGGGGTAGCCTCAGAGTCCCTGCTCTGTAGAGTGGGGCTGAGACCACCTTTGCCCAGCTGCTGGGGTTCTTTCCTCGGTCCCAGGCCTGGGCAGCACTGAGGGGTACAGAGGGCACCAGGAAATGCGGCCTTGAACCGAGCCTAGGTGTGAACCAGGCCCTCTCCGCCTGCCCGCCAGGCCTCTCTGAGCCTCACTGTCCACATCGGCCACTGGCAGCTACGCGCACCGCACCTTGTCCTGCAGGCCGGCGAATTCCACCATCTGCCGGGTGATGGCAGCGTAGTCAGGGTTGAGCTCGATGGTGATCAGCCTGGCGCCAGGTGACAGGCAGCGGGCCATCAGCACAGCCGAGTAGCCGCAGTAGGCCCCCAGCTCCAGCAGCACACAGGGCTGGTACTCCCGCACCACGGAATCCACGATCTGGCCTGTGGGGGCAGGGTGGAGGGTGTGAGCGCAGGCAGAGGGAGGAGAACCAGGCCCCAGTCCTGGACCCCCTCCTCTGCCAGCTGAGCTACAGCCCCTCCCAAACACCTGGCCTCTAGCCCTCTTCTCCCCGTCCCTACCTGCTTCTAGGGGGCCTTTTACTTCCATTGCCCAGTGGCCAACCCCAAGCACCTGGCCCCTCCCGCACACACCCTCAGCTCCAGGGTCCCTCAGGCCTCTGAGCCTTTGCACATGCTAGTCCCTCTCTCTTTCCCACCCTCCCTGGCTGATCCCAGAATGCCCCAACCCAGAAGCCCCTGCCCCATCTGTGCCCATGCCCCAGGCTGGCATCCCAACCCAGAAGAACCTGTCTGACAGGTCCAGGTCAGTCCATGGTGGACCTGGGCAGAGTTCAAAGGGAGGCCCACCACCTTCACGGCCTGTGAGTGTGGGGGCCCGTCTTCCCCGGGCAGCAGGCCGCAGCCTGACTCCCGCCCAAGACACAGGGCAGTGGCCGTCCTAGCTGGCGCTCTCCTGACAAACCACACTTTATCTATGTCCCTTCCACTCCCCTGGGACAGCAGTCTGGGTGCAGAGTCCGGCAATTTGCACCCAGGTCTCTGCATGACCTTTCCCGGGGAGGGGGAGGAAGCCAGAGGCCAGGCCTGCAGCTCAGGCCGCCAGGGCTCCAGAGCAGCAGCAGCCAGGGCAGGTCCCAGGTTCCCAACCGCCCGGAAGTGGAGCGGTAACAGCCTCCCCTAGAGGCTGCGCTGCGCAGCACGGGTCCCCACCCTAGGGCCCACACCTTTCTTGTCGCCCACGTTCATGGCCCACTCCTTCTGCGAGCAGTAGGTGTCGATGGCCGCCAACACGCTCTTGGGGTTTCCGGGCTCCGCGTGCTGCAGCACGTGGCGCAGAATGCGCTGCTCCTTGGTGTCGCCCATGAGCAGATTGCAGAAAGGCTGCAGGACGGACTCGTACCAGACGATGACCCACAAGCCCCAGTGTCTCCGCAGCAGCAGCAGCGCCAGCAGCGCCAGCCCCAGCGGGGCGGCTACCAGCAGCAGGGGTGGGGCCTCCAGCATCTGCGGGGCAGGGAAGGGTAGGAGGGGCGGGGCTTCCGCACTCTGCGCCTTCCTGCCTTTCAGGCCACTCAGTTTGGGAGTGCTGCCACCGCCCCTTGTGTTGACAGAGGGCCAAGGTGCAGAGAAGCCAGCAGGTGCCTCAACTGCCTAACTTTTGTCAATGCCAGGAGACCAGACTCCCCACCCCTCCGGCACTCAGGTGGAAGGGGCAGGGGTGTGCCTCTGGCAGCCCTGCGTGGAGGCTGACCTTGCCCCAGGTACTTTTCCTAACAGGTAGGGGGTGGGGGATCAGCTTCAGCCCAGGGACCCTCTTAAACCATACACAACACAGAGGCCACTGTGGACCAGGGCTGTGCTCTCCCAGCCAGTTTAGTGGACACACAGGTGGGGAAAGGCTGGTGGCCTGGAGTTGGGGGATGGGGGCTGGCCCCAGCAGAGGATACAAGGTGCAGGGGAAGCCCCCTCCCTGCGTGCAGCCCCTGGCCCCCATGAGGGGAGCCCACACTGGACGCTCACGCTCTGGACAGCCTGAGAGATGCATGTGGCCCTTCCATTGAATTTCCAGGTGAGGACACAGGCAGTTCCCAGGCCAGGCACCCCAGGACAGACCCACTCACTGAACCCCTCAGGGACGGCCACAGATTGAGAAAGACCAGCTCTGCCACCCACCATCGTGTGACAAGACACGCAAAGCTGTTCCTCGCAGCATGATGAAATCGTGGCGAGTGGCCCTGCTTGAAACCCCATTTGAAATTCTCCCGGCAAGCAGCCCTCTGGGAGGACCCGGGGACCCAGCCAACATGGAGCTGAGTTCACAACATTCAGGGCAGAAACCCGTGATTTGAGTCAGAGACCCTAAAATGGAAAAGGAGGAACTTGGGAAAGTTCTGCCGGGGCGCTGTGGGCGCTCACAGGTCTTTCTGGAACCCTGGTGGCAGGCGGATCCTGCTCTCAGCTAGATGCTCCCCTTTAGAAAGGCACGCCTGGCTGAGGAGGCAGGCCCAGGCCGCAGCGGGGCAACTCCTGGAGGACACCTCGGGGGCCCGGGGGACAGACAGAAGAGCAACAGGAAAGCGGAGGCCCCAGAGGCCGTGTGGACACCCAGACTGCTGGGGGGCCTCAGGCCACGTGGCCTGTTTTACACAGGCTGTGGACACGTGGCCTGCAGGTCTGTGCTCTCATGCGGGGCCTGAGCCCGCACCTGCCCCTGCTCTGCCCACTGGCTTCTCTCAGCAACTGCCCTGCACAGCTGCTATAGCCTCGGCCTCGGCCTCCGGGCTGCAGGAAGGGTCTGGGCCCTCCTTCCTTCTCAAGCTCGGCGGCAAAGCATAACACATATATATATTATATATACAAATTATGTCTGGTAAAATGCAATAATATATTACCAGATATAATTTGTTTGGACTTCAATTTTACCTTTCGATAATCAACAGCAACTGCTGGAGGTGGCCAAGTTCCAGGTGTCTGAGCCCTTCCCTGGAGGCCAGCCTTGCCCACCTTTCCCTGGAGGGGCAAGAGGGGTGCTTCACCTTTCTGGCCTCAGAAGGGACGGCAGAAGGCCTCAGAGAGTGTCCCCCAGCCAGGGACTCTGGGGACAGTCCCCCTGGTCCTTTCCATGTTGCACCTTGAGAAATGAAGGAGAAAGGAACCGCTGTGCCCAGGCTGTATTGCCCGGAGAGCCGTTCGTGAACTTGGAAATGACATGTAAGACCAATGGCCAGTTTGCAAAGAACACGGACAGATCGATAAGAAAAAGCCAGTCCAAGAGAAACATGGGCCAAGGTGCCCACAGGAAAAGGCCAGAGGGCTGGAAGCCCCAAGCAGGAGAGGGAGCTGTGCGAGGCGCCCCCGCCACACCCAGCGGCGCGAATCCCCCGACTCCCCGCACCTCACAGGCCCTGGTCTGCTGGCTGCACTGGGGAAGGGTCCCGGCCTGCAGAGCGGCAGGTAGGCCACCACAGACCCAGGGGCAGGACATGCCATGACCCGTGAGGGTCGATCCAGGGAGATGGTGCGGTTGGTCAACAAGACAGGGAGTCCTGGGAGAAAGATGGTGGGGAACAACGGGGCCCACGTAGGCCTGATGTGGCCAGAAGTCTCCACTTTGCTCCTTTCTGCACAGTTGGCATTTCACAGCGACACAGGTGCGATGCCTTGTTTGTTAGCATTTACCTGTTACCTGTGCTCACGTGTCTATCACTCCTAGAGCAGTATTTCAGTGGTGAGATGGTGGGCCATGAGTTTACCCTCTGCATTTCAAAAAATACTCTAGTAAATGCTAGAAATAAGTACCCAAGATAAAAATAAAAAGGAGCCGGGCGCGGTGGCTCACGCCTGTAATCCTAGCTCTTGGGAGGCCGAGGCGGGAGGATTGCTCAAGGTCAGGAGTTCAAAACCAGCCTGAGCAAGAGCGAGACCCCGTCTCTACTATAAATAGAAAGAAATTAATTGGCCAACTGATATATAAAAAAAAAATTAGCCGGGCATGGTGGCGCATGCCTGTAGTCCCAGCTACTCGGGAGGCTGAGGCAGAAGGATCGCTCGAGCCCAGGAGTTTGAGGTTGCTGTGAGCTAGGCTGACGCCACGGCACTCACTCTAGCCTGGACAACAAAGCGAGACTCTGTCTCAAAAAATAAATAAATAAATAAAAAGGATATTCTGCCTAAATACAAATTGCCCAGTAGACCTGGAGTTCTGAACTAGAGTTGAAGCCCTGCAATACTTGAATTGTGTAAGAGTTTGGCTTTTAAATCTCTAATCTCTCTGTGGGTCTGTTCATAAATCTGCAGGCAGGGCCAGCATGAGGGAGCAGAGAGCAGGGGCGGCTGAAGCCCTTTTCCTGTCAATAAATCAATAAGGGGAGGACAGCCACTCCCACAGGCTGGCTGACCAGCCACGTGCCAGGTCCAGCTCCCAGGAGGCGCTCAAGGTCAAAGGGCCGCCCCCATGCAATGCCTGCAGGAAAGGGCTCCACCAGCACCTCACCCCCCGCCCCCCGAGCACCCATGGTCTTCCTACGACCCCCACAAGAGAGTCCTGGGATTCTCCCGTGAGTGAGAGGGACTCTGGCCTGGAGCAGAGGGCCTGGCTGCCCCAGGCCACCAGCTGAGTACTGGGCCACTACCCACACTGCCCTGAAGGCTCTTCCAAGCTAACACACCCCTTCCAGCCTCCCGCCCTGTGGGGCCTCCCTGACAGCAGGGTCCCAGTGCTTCAGAATACCCTCCTCCTGCTCTGCCCAGCAGGGCAGGCCCCGGGTAAGGGGTGGACTCTTTGGGTAGGGAGGCCAGATCATGCCCAGCCAGTGGTCATCACCCTGAGTTTCACAGAACAAAAGCAGGAGCAGTGAGTGACTGGAGGCCCCACTAGAGAAAGCTGCAGAGGACGCTGTCCAGAGCTGCTCCTCTGCAGGGAGGCAGAGCAGCTCCTTTTGCTTGGGGTCCTGGGTCCCCGCGCTGGGCATGCCAGCTCACTATCACAGGACCACATGGTCCCGCTGCCCTGTTCTGGCTCCGGGACCTGGGGGTGGCGGGTCCCCATACCTCACACAGATGCAAAAAGAACCAGCTCCCCAGAGGACCCACCAGAACCCTCTCTGCATCTGTCTGAAACGTCGTGGAACATTTTTTGATAGCTTGCCAAGCGCACCTTTCAAATGTGGTTTCTGGGCCAGTGAAGAGGGGAAGCCCTGCCTCCCCCTCCCCACGGTGCCAATAGTGGGCAGGCTGCTCAGGAGGCTGGGCCATTACAGGGGCCTCTCAGGTGCACCTCCGGTTCACCGGAGACGCAAGTATATGTCACCACCACCCAGAGCAATCCACAGATTTCACACAATCCTCACCAAAAATCTCAAGGGGCCAGGTGTAGTGGCCCACGCCTGTAATCCTAGCACTCTGGGAGGCCGAGGCAGGAGGATTGCTTGAGGTCAGGAGATCAAGATCAGCCTGAGCAAGAGCAAGACCTTGTCTCTACTAAAAACAGAAAAAATTAGCCAGGCATGGTGGCATGTGCACACTCTAGCCTGGGCAACAGAGTGAGACTCTGTCTTAAAAAAAAAAAATCTCAAGGGCGTTTTTTGCAGAAATAGAAAACTCCATCTTAAAAGTCATGCGCATCTGTAGTCTCAGCTACTTAGGAGGCCGAGGCAGGAGGATCACTTTAGGCCAGGAGTACGAGGCCAGGCTAGACAACATAAGCGAGACACTATCTCAAAAAAATAAAATAAATAAATCCAAGTCACATGGAATCTCAAGGGACACAGAGTAGCCAAAACAATCTTGAAACAGAAGAACAAAGTTTGAGGACTCATATTTGTGATTTTAGAGTCACAACATCACACCTAATGGGAACAGTGCGCACTGTCTGGGGGATGGACATGCTTGAAGGTCTGACTTGATGGGGCAAAGGCAATACATGTAACCTAAACATTTGTACCCCCCGTAATAAGTCAAAATAAAAAATAAGTAAATGCAAATTGTAATGTACAAACAACAACAAAAAATAAATACCTCATTAAAAAAACAGTCACAACAAAGCTATACAACTTGAAACAGGGAGGTGCTGGCATAGGATAGACATAAGTCAATGAAACCCAATTGAGAGCCCAGAAGTAAACCCTCCTGTTTGTGGTCAAATGGCTTTCAACATGCAAGAAGGAAATGGGACCCACAGAATATATTAAAAAATTAACTCAAAATGGATCAAAGATCTGACTTTAAGAACTAAAACTACAAAACCCAGGAGAAAACATAGGAGTAAATCTTCGTGACCATGCATTTGGCAATGAATTCTTACATGTGACACCAAAAGCACAGGCAACAAAAGAAAAATAAATTGCACTCATTAAAATTAAAAACTTTTGTGCATCAAAGGGCACTATTAAGAGAGCAGACCTCAACCCACAGAAAGGGAGAAAATATCTGCAAATCATTTATCTGGCGAGAGTTTAATACTCAGCATATATAAAGAACTCCTACAACTGAACCACAAAAAGACAACCCAATTTAAAAATGGGAGTTGAAGAGACATTTCTCCAAGGAATATATACAAATGGCTAAAAAGCATGTGAAAAGATGCTCAATGTCCTTAGTCACTTGGAAAATGTGAATGAAAACCATGGGTTATCACTTCACATCCAACAAAATGGCATTTTTTTTTGTGGGGTCATGCAGGCTGGTCCCAAACTTCAGGTATCAAGAGAGTCTCCTGCCTCAGCCTCCTGGGTAGCTGGGTTTACAGGCGTGCTGTTCTGCCCGGCTGCTTTTTTTTTTTTTTTAAGGAAAATAAGTGTTGGTGAGGATGTGATGAAATGGGACCCTTCTTGCATTGCTGGTATGAATGCTATAGAAAACACTTTAGCGGTTCCTCAAAAAGTTAAACATAGAATCACCACATAACCCAGCAATGCGACTCCTACGTGTGAACCAGGAACTGAAAACAGACTCAGATGCTCGTGTGCCACGATGCAGAGCGGCATCTGCAGCAGCCGGAAGGGACAGACAGCCCAAGTATCTGCAGGCATCTCAGCGGACGGACACCATGCTGCGTGGCCGCACAGCGCAGCATGATCAGTTATTGACGAGTGAAGTACTGAGTCGCAGGACTGCGCGGATGAGCCCTGAAGACACTGTGCTAAGCAAAATAAGCCGGATGCAAAAGGACAAATATTGTGTGATTCTACTTACATGAAATGCCTGGAATAGGCAAATCCCTACAGAAAGAAAGTAGAGCGGAGGTTACTGGGGTTGGGGGAGTGGGAATTATCGCTTAAGGGGTACAGAGTTTCCGTTTGGAATGAAAAATGTTCTGGAAATAGTGGTAACAATTACACAACATTGTAGATGTACTTAATGCCACTGGATTGCACACTTAGAAACGATTTAAATGGTAAATTGTAAGTTCTGTATATTCTACCATGATTAGCAAAACATAGTAGAAAACAAACTAAAAAAACCAAAAACAGGCAAACCCTGCTCCTGGCCCTCCGTTCCAAACAGGGAAAAGGGCCATGACATCTCCCTGGAGACCTGGGCACTAGGGACAGCCTCTCTCTGCCAACCACAGCTGCTGGAGCTGCCACAGGCTCTCTGCCCGCCCCGTGCAGCCCGGCGGCAGGGAGCGTGCCGCCCCCCAGAGGATGCCCACCTCCCTCTCTGAGGCAGGGCAGGAAGCTTCCTTGTCCCAGCAGAGATCTGCCCACCCTGAGGTCCCCTCACAACACCGAGGTGTGGCACCTGCAGCTGCGGGGCCCACGTCCTTCTCTGCCCCGACGGGCTCACAGACCTGGCCGGGTGCAGGCTGCCTTTCCCCAACAGTGAGAATGGCCAACTGCCCCGGAAGGCTTCCTTAGTGTAAGTCTGTTCTCGAGTGTGACCCACCTCAAGCCCAGCCCCAAAACCTGTGACCTCCAACTCGCACTGTCACTCCCCCTCCCCCAGACCTGCCGTAGCAATTGAGAGGCTTGGCAGTGGGTGGGGGCCCCAGCCACTGTCCAGCCAGGGTGGGCCAGACCACAGGGACACCGGTCCCCGACCAACAATTCTGTGATCCTTCGTGGCAAATGTCGGCCATCCGGCCTGACGGCCAGACCTCAGCATGGCCAGCCCGACACCTGCATGCAGGGACCCACGCAGCCTGCCAGGCGGCCCGCACCTTCCCTGCCCACCGGGACGCTCAGCAGCCCTGGTGGCTCCTGACAGCTGGTAATGTAGCAACCCCCCTTGCAGGACATCACAGAGGACCGTGGTTATCCCCAGTGGGGCGCAGGAAGACAGTCCCACAGCTGCTGTAGGCAGAGGGCAGACGCATACCACAAAGGCCTTTTCCTAGCACGCCGACGGGGAGGGGCAGGGCCAGCGGCCATGTGGAGCTGCCACCCACCCCGCCATGGTCTGTTCCCAGCAGGTCTGCACCTCTGCTCCAAAGTGCCAGGGGCTGTTCCAGGGGCTGACTAGCTCCCACAAGCGCTCTGGGGAGACGCCTGGGGCTGAGACGGGGGCTGGGGGGCAGCCTGAAGGGGCAGGGCAGGACCACGGGTCCTGGGTGGGGCTCAGGGCGCGGTGATGGATCCACCGCTCTTGCGCGGTGGAGGGTGAGGCGTGACAGTGTCCGTGCAGCATCTACACAAGCTCACACATGCCTGTCACATGCCTGCACACGCATGTGCACAAAAAGCACAGGATGTCCTTGGTGCCTCAGGCCAAATGACCCTCATCTTCCTTTAAAAGACGGAAAGGTCGGCCAGGCGCGGTGGCTCACGCCT